GAATTTATCGTTAAGTGCGTGCACCAGAAGAGCCGGATCCACTATGCAGGTAGGTATATCATGTGCCTGGATAAACGCAGGATCCATAAAACATGCGTCTGAACCCGAATCAATAAACACAGGTGTAGTAATGTCATAAGAATGGAAAGATAAAACAGCCTGTACCGTGGGATGAGAGGTCGACTTAGCTGTAGTGTAGCGGCTCAGCAGCGGCCTCCTCTTTGCTGAGCCCTGTTCTTTTACCGGACATGCGAAGGCACGATGTCCTGGACCTCCGCAGTACAAACATAGATTCTGCCGAAAACGCCGTTCTCGTTCTTCGGGTGTTAATCTCGTTTTCCCGAGCTGCATGGGCTCAGGGGTGTCTGATGCGGCGCTGGGACCGGCATGAGATGATTCCCGGTGGCGTTCCTGCTGGCGTTCCCGGTATCTCCCTTCCAGGCGAGTGACTAAATCCATGAGGGGACGCAGTCTCTTAGGGCGATCGTAGACAGTCAGGGCATCTTTTAGGCGAGCCGATAGACCACGGTAAAAGGCGTCCACCAGCGCTGGTTCGTTGAACTCGCTGACAGCAGCGGCAGTGCGGAAGGCAATGATATAATCCACAGCTGACTGGGACCCTTGTGATAACGACATGACCGAGGGTGAAGCAGCCGAGTCGTAGCATGGCGGATCGAACACCCTGGTGAGCTCCGCAGCAAAATCTCCAAAAGTGTCGCAGCAGGCCGTCCTGGCTGTCCATTCCGCCGTTGCCCATTGTCTGGCTTTTCCTGTTAGCAGGGACAAGGTATAGGCCACCTTGGCTCGATCGGTGGGAAATGCTGATGGTTGCATCTCAAACAGGATCTCGCACTGGGTGAGAAACGCCCTGCTCTCCCCGCTCTCTCCTCCATATCGTTCTGGCGGAGCCAGTCTGGGCTCGTGTTCTGCCGAAACCGAGGCCACAGCCACCCCGGCCACGGCTTGATCGCCTCTTGCCTGACGTAACTGGTGTAGGTCTGTCATCAGCTGCCCCAGGGCAGCTCCCTGGTGGGCTAGAGCCTGCTCCATACGAACCTTCCAGTCCGGCTCTTGCTCGCTGGTTGAGTCCATACTTTTGGCCAGATTGTACTGTCAGGGTTGCCGTGTGAGAACGACAAATGGGGTTTAGTGGTGGACTCAATTATAGAACCAGACGAATAAAGTAACAGGTCTTTACTAATAACAACAAGGAAAACAATACAAAGTCCGAGAGGCTAAATCAGGTCCATAAGACAATCCAGGGTCGGCGCCGGTAGACAGGAGTATCCAGGAGATCCAAAACTCGGGTAGTCAGGGGAAATAGCTCAGAGGTCGGAACACTGCAGGCAATCAGACTGGAAGGACATAGGCAAAACACGGTGGTCAGAAAAAACGGTATCAGAGGTCAGAAACGGGGAATTCAGGCAAGGTAAGAATGCGGGCAAGGCAGAGCGGGGGTCTAGAACAATCTGGCAGCGTCCTAATGGGAGGACGCTGCCTAAATAGAGGTGAACACAGGTGCAGGATAATGAGGCGCAGGTGAAACTAATCTGAGTGAGGAGAAAAGGAAAAAAACCTATGCTATGGAAAAAAACAAAAACAGGAAGTAGAGTAAAAATAAAAGTCTGACAGGAAACAGCGGAGTAGAATCGTGACAGCTTCATTAAAAGGTTTATGCATGTCATTTTATTTGTAATTTATTGTGATGTTACTAAACTACAACATTTACGGCATAAAACAAGCCTCTAATTACAAAAAATAATCTACAGGTCTATGTCTTGAGCCTTGTAGTTTTACAGTTTTTTTCTGTTGCTAACAAGCATTTGTCCATTCTGTATTCACATTTTCAAAACTCTAAACACAATTATCACAACATCTGTCTGTTGTGACCATACCATTAATACAATTAATGTCGTTTTCACACAAAATTTAGTCAATGCACACGTTTCTAAAATGCTTACATTTTCTTTTCACACAAGCTTACCCCATAGCAAAATAATGGATCTTTCAAATATCTCTAACAAATGCTTAAACACATCATGACAGAATTGAAGACCTAATGATCCAAACTTTAAATATAATGTAAAGCCTCTACTTTTGCCACAACAGCTCAAAGAGCTGATAAGAATTATTGTTCTAATTGGGAAACAGCTGGTTCCAATTTGACACTGATTAATCCCACATCTTTCCATGCATGT